TGATGGTTCATGTTAACATATTAATGTTAATATTTTCATTTTTTTCAGACATACTATAAAGTTAGTGTGAGCTTTCATTGTAAATTCACAGAAAACTTAATGTTCAAATTCTCAGGAATTAAGGACTAACCATAACATGTCAGTTCTAATTAAATTTTGTAAAAGATGGCAAGTTTGTTACCTCACTTAAGTGGGGCTTCCCCCTCCTCAATTCTAATAGAATACAATATGTATAATAAAACATTAATAAATACAGTTTCAAAAATTTACTTCCCCTGGATGTTTATGTTCAGAATTGAATATCTTAAACCAATAGTTAACATTAACCTTTTTGAAGTCCCTCTAATCTAATGAAATATATGGAATTTATCTTTAAAAAACTACTTGCATGCACATAGGCACAAATTTCAAGTATAAAATTGGTCTCGGCTCCTCTTCATATATCTCAAGTGAAGATTTTTGTTTTTTTTCCTTTGTACATTCTTGATCTTTTTATTGCTTGCTATTGCTTGCTGTTTTCATGTAAAAGCCACATGAATATTTAAATCCTAATCCTGGGAAGGGATCATTAGTTTGCAGTATTTAATGTTGGAAATAACTGTAGTGCCATTTGCAATCATGAGTTGAACTGAAACAGTATTACACTGGAAATGAGACATTAGCCTTTTAAATAACAGGAGAAATCATCCTTGTCGAGGTCTGAATGCTGCTCCTTTTCTGAGGTAGTAAATGTTTAAGTTTGTGGGAAAGATGATATAATACCATCACATACATCATGTTTCTCTTTTGTGCTGGGTTGGCTAAAAGTTACAAGGTAGACTTTAATAATTGAAATTCTTTTTCCTGCTAAGCTTGCAGAAGTTTTAGACTGATGGTATTCTTTTTCTTAAGGGAATTTTAATAACATGTCAGTTTTTAAACAAAGGTTTTTAGATGTTAGGAACAATTTTAACAGATTGTCAAAGGTTTCAGTTAAAAAGGAACCCAGAATAAGTGGGACTCTGTAGAGATGAAGTGAAGCCATAGGACTATCCAGTAAACTCATATGGCGATGGCAGTTAGAGTTTAGTTTATACAAAAAGTTATATAGAGTTTATAAAAAGCCTATAGGGATAAGTTTGTGGATATTTTCTTCTGTTTTAATAGCCTGGCTCTTCTTTAGCACCAGGTTTACTTGATAGCTCCAGTTCTCATTAGTGGAGACATAGGAAAGTAGATGAAACTTATCATCTGATCAGTGTAGATCTGATGCCATAATTCTGGGATCTTTAAGGACCATACTTTCTATAACATGTTAAGATCTGTGTGTAGTAAAATTAGGTAGTAATGCTCTCATCATTAAAGTGAAGGGGGAAGGTTAATACTTTTATAACCAAGAAGCACCTATCTATATCAAATTTTTAAAAACTCAGTTTCTTTAAACTAAAAACAAACAAAAATAGTTCATGCATTACTCCCACCCCTGGCAAGCACCGGTTGGTTTTATGAGCTCGGTTTTTTTACCATTTACTTTTTAGATTCTAAATATAAGAGAGATCTTATGGTATTTGTTTTTCTTTTTGACTTATTTCACTTAGCATAATGCCCTCGAGGTCCATCCATGTTGTTGCAAGTAGCAAGATTTTGTTCTGTTTTATGGCTAATAGTCCGCTGTATAGATTTACCAGTTTCTCTGTCCATTCATTCATTATTGCACATGTAGGTTGTTTCCATATCTTAGCTCTTGGAAGTAATGCTGCAGTGAACATGGGGTTGCATATATCTTTTTCTAATCAGTTTTTGAATCAATACCCATACCCAGAAGTGAATCGCTGGATCATATAGCGGTTCTGTAATTTTTTGAGGAACTTCCATACCGTTTTCCACAGTGGCTGCACCATATTACCTCCCCACCAGCAGGGGTCTCTTTGATCCACACTTTTGCCAAGTTAATTTTTGTTTTTTTGATGATAGCCATTCTAACAGATGTGAGATATGGTTTTGATTTTCATTTCTCTGATGATTAATGATGTAGAGCATTTTTTCATATACCTGTTGCCCATTTTTCAGTCAGATTGTTTTACTACTGAGCTGTGGGAGGTCTATTATGGGTATTAGTAGCCCCTTAATCAGATACATGATTTGCAAATATTTTCTCCTATTCAGTAGGTTGCCTTTAATTTTGTTGATTTCTTTTGCTGCACAGAATCTTTTTAGTTTGATGTAGACTCGCTTGTTTTGCTTTTGTTTCTTTTGCTTTTGGTGTCAGATTTACAGAAAAATCATCACCAAGACCTATATTAGGAGATTACTGCCTGTGTTTTCTTCTAAATTTATGGTTTTAGGTCTTATTTTCAAGTCTTTAATCCATTTTGAGTTAATTTTTGTGTGGTATAAGATAGTGGTCCAGTTTTCCCAACCATTTATTGATGAGACTATCCTTTCCCCATTGTATATTATTGGCTCCTTTGTTGTAAATTGTCCATATATGTGTAGGTTTATCTATTCTATCCCATTGATCTGTGTCTTTATACCAATACCATACTGTTTTAATGCTATAGCTTTGTAATATAGTCTGAAATCAGGGAGTGTGATCCTTCCAGATTTGTTCTTCTCAGGGCTGCTTTGGCTATTTGGGGTTATTTATGGTTCCATACCAATTTTAGGATTGTTATATTTCTATGAAAATTGCTATTGGAATTTTGATAGGGATTGCATCAAATCTGTGTGTTGCTTTTGGTACTATGGACATTTTAACAATATTCTTCCAATCCATGAGCACGAAGTATCTTTCCATTTAGTTTTTGATATACAGGTCTTTCACATCCTGGGTTTAAATTCATTCCTAGGTATTTTACTCTTTTTGATGCTTTGTTTCTGGTTGTCTCTGTGATACGTGTGTGTGTATGTATGTACGTACATGTATGTGTGCGTATATCACTGTATATGTGTATGTATATATCACATAGTGGTTAGCAGCATAGTCAGGCCATGGTGGGTTTGAATCTTGGTTTGCTGCTTAACATCTCTGTGCTTCACTTCTTCTGCACAACAGAGATAATGATGTGCAGCTGATGGATGGATGATTGGATTAACTTGAGTAAAGCACTGCATGTATTAGGAACAGCGACTGCTATAAATATTAGCTATTATGATCACTCTCATAGGCAGCAATGCATTCGGCATATAATCGTCAGCTGGTACTGTTATTACTCTTTTAGGTGGAAAAGTTTGAAGATAAACAGCTTGAATTTGACTCCAAGTGGGTCTCGCTCATATAAATGATTCCTTTTTTAAATAGCTAAGCATAGACAATGTAAGGCAGGTCCCGCACTTCCCTAAAGAAGGTAGTCTGACAGGCGCTAACCAATCAGGGCAGCACTGAGAAATGAAAATTGGTGAGGATAGCTGGCTAATAAAAAGGTCCCATTTCCCATCCTTCCACCTTTCTTTTACATGGCACATGTTAATTTCTCAGAGTGCTTTCATATGTAGTAATACACATTTCAGTAAGTTGAGAGAAAGAGTAAGTCACCTACTGTTTCTAAACTTAAAAATTATTTTAAAATACACGACACATGCAAGAGTATATAGTATGTACTGTTTGGAGAATAAAAATAGTACACTAGGGTAGCCATAGGCTGAGAACCTATTACGGCCATCTCAGACGCTCGCTCCCCTTGCTCCTCAGATCTCAGCTCCCTTTCCCAGAGGAAACTATGGTGCAGAATGTTGGTACCTCTTTCTTGCTTTCCTCTAGCATTACAACATGTTTTTCTGAATAATGTTTTTGCATGTTTTTAGAAGTTAATATAAATGGATTTTTACTATATGCTAGTATGGCTTTATTTTTGAAATTCATTTGATACATATAGTTAACGTTTATTTAGTTTTACTTCTCTAGTATTCTGTTATGTGAATAGATATTTTGTCTATTCTGTTGATGACATTTGGGTTATTTCCAGATTTGAGATACCATGAACAGTGCTTCTATAATCGTTACTGTATGTGTCTGGGTATATGTGTTAAGAGATCCTCTAGGAGGTGTATCCACAAGTGAATCTGCTAGTGGTGGGGTCAGGGTTGTTTGCAAGTTCACTAGAAAGAACGCCAAACTGCACTCCCCTCCACGCGTGGCTGAGATTCCCCATTGCTCCAGCCCTCCAGCAGGTGAATTTCTGCAGTCCAGTGGATATATATCTATGTGGTTTTAATTTGCATTTCCTTGAGTATATGAAACCGAACATATTTCTATTTAAGAACTCTTTCTATTCTATGAAATGCCTTCATGACTTTTTTTTCAGTTTATCTTTTAATTATGGGAATATTTTATATAGTCTGCATAGTAATTTTTTGTTGGTCATGTGTGCTTGTTAATATGCTCAGTTAATTTTGTTTTCATTCTCTGGTGTTTTTGTGAAGTTAGTTTGAATGTATTGAATTTCAGTCTTTGTTTTTCTTATGGTTTACATGCTTTGTGGCATAGTCAAGCTACACATTAATTTTTTTTTTAGTTTTTAAAAGATTTTAGTTTCCAACAATATTGTTCATGTCTTGAGATTCTTTCCCTCCCACCTTGAACAGTTCTAAGTGAGAAAAAGATATCCAGGGGACCGTGGCTCTTGTAGCCTTAGCAGGGAATTCCTGATCTAATTATGCTCTGCAAATCTGTGAGGCATTAGTTAGCACTGAACTCATAATTTTATGGTGTATCATCTCATGTTGGCTCAGACCAGCCCACCATGTCTTTGGACATGTGGATTCCTTAGGTGGACCCTGTATAACAATCTCATTTGAGGTTGCAGAAGTTCTTTTATTAATCTGCCATTTTAAAAACAGCTTTTAAAACCTGGTATTGAGATCGCATTATTCCACTAACATTGAATACAGGTTTTCTTGATCGTCATCCTCTGTTGTGATTTCATTATGCCCTGATTTTTTGGAAATTAACTGTTAAAGCTACAGAACTGATTTTAGTTTTCTTCCAAGGATATTCTAGAAAATAACCACAGAAAGCAAAAGAAACAGAATGATAGATTTTATTGCTAGCATTTACTGCTAGGTTAATTCATTACAAAGACAATGATATTCTGTTGAACTTGGTTATAATTAAACACACTGTACCAAGTCATTATACTTATTTCCAGGTCAGAAGGAATGGTGGATTGGGCTGAGTTACCAGGAACTGGATATGTCAGGGGTGGAAATAGGAACTTTATACCAAGCCCAACGACCAGCTGTGCTTCAAGTGACTTAAAATTAACTGGTCCCCTCCTTGAGGAGGGTCTGGCTCAGAAGAAACAGGACCTGGTAGAGCTATACCCTGTCCACAGTGATCCACCACTAAAAACAGTAATATCTAAAGGACTGTAAACTTCTGAATGCTGGTTCATTAAGGTTCCACTTCTGTGTAATGTAAAATTAAACATCTTTTGTGGTACTCATCTGCTAGTCTTTTTACTGCATGTCTAGGACAATTATCAAAACTAGACCTGCATTTCTGCTAGTGTTTGGGCCTCAAAGCAGGGCTCGTCACCTAACTGCACAAATTAATGCTATTAGGTCCAATTATGAGACAAGCTTGATTATAAATACAATTTTCAGAATGACAGGCACTTAAAGCTTATTAAGTAAAATACAAAAATAGATTATATTAATAGGAAATATTTAGTGTTTATCAATCTAGGCTTTTACCATTTTAAAAAAAGGATACTGGAAACTAAAAAGATGACATTCAAATAAAGTGAACACTGCATTTTCTCATAACTTTCATTTTGAGCGCTGAACAATAACAATCTAAGAAAAGACTTACCACAAAGCACCTAAAATAACATTTGTAGATGGGTAGGAATGTTGTTCACCATTTCTTACTGTTTCCCTCCCAAGTCTCTGTACCAAGGCATTGAGAGTACATTCCACAAGTGACTGTCAGCGTTCTGAAACAGGGTCGTGTGCCTGTATATCAGAGAAGTTGAAAACCCTTAAGGAGGTAGCTCTCCTTCCTGGGTGCTCTTCCCCCAAAGGCGCAAGAGAGTTAGGCTTCAGATTCTGCGCCTCTATTTTCACTTGGATTTCCGTCATTGTCATCTGGTTGATCGTTTAATAGTACATATTTTCCATCATTGGTTAGTGGTATGGACAGCATTAATTGAGCCAATGCTTCCGGATCCTAAAGTTAGAGGAGTTTAAGAAGGAGAAAAGGAAACGCTTAAAATGCACTTAAAACCCCTTTGGCTTGGCTTTCATTATGTTCTGTAATCTAGCCACATTCCTTCCTGTCTATGTATGCCTTCAGGTGGGTCTCTTTGTTTCTCTGGAAAACACTCAATTGCACTACTTATAGAATCTAGGCCTAAGCTTTCCCCTCAGCCAAAATGTCGTTTACATAGCCAAATCATAATCATCTTCCCAGAAAGAGTCCAGAGAGGAACTTCCTTCACAATACACCTTTGCCTTCTGTCTTTAAACACTCGTCTTTTTTAATCTATACTAAGAGTTGGCAAACTATGGGCATTTGGCTCACTGCTTGTTTCTGTAAACGTTTTTTTGGAACATTGCCCTGCCCATGCATGTGCATACTATCTGTGGCTGCATTTGTGTTAACAGCAGAGTTGAGTCACAGATGGAAAGGCCAAAAGATTGACTATCTGGCCCTTCACAGAAAGGTCTGCCAAGCCCTGGTCTGTAACAAAATACTGACTTGCAGCGCTTGTCATTATTTCATGTATGTCAGTCTCAGTCCTTGGTCCTCCTGCCCTCCCTCGCAGATTAGAACCATGCTGATGCGGTACCCACTAGCTGCTTGTTACTATTTAAATTTAATAAAACTTAAAAATCCAGTTCCTCAGTCACACTAGCCACATTGGATCTGCTTATTTTCCATCACTGCAGAAAGTTTTACTAGACAATGCAGAACTCTACAGAAGCCCCTTGGGGCAGGAACTGTATCTGTCTTGCTCACTGCTCTAACTCCAGGGTTTTTCTCATACAAATTTGGCTCTCAGAAACTTGCTGGGTGAATGGAGGATCCTAAGCTGCTGAAGGACAGGAAGGTCTGAGCACATGGTAGATACTTAAATTTGTACCATCTCAATCTGAAAGACAGGAAATCTAAAAAAGCAGCCAAAAAAAAAAAAAAAGATAAAGCAAGAGCTGTAGCAGTGACATATATTAAAAACTCCACGTGTTACCAGTGACTGTGGAACTAGCTGATCAAAATTGTGGTTAGAATGCGTAACAGGAAATCCCAAACTTGGCCACACTGCCAAGCAAGCATCGTTTATCTTTTTGAGAGAAATCTCGATAGGTGTATAGGTATTTTTTGAGCAGTTGTTAAACCAGCACCAGCACTAAAGTGTACCTTACCTTCTGAACCTCAATGATTTCTTTCCCCAAATTAATAGCATAACATATCTGCAAAAGACAAGAAAAGTGGTGTTTGGCAAAAGTAGAAAAGGATAAAGAATTTTAGAAAAAATATCGATTATTTAAGTACAGTGAGGTCACTGTCTGCTCACGTCAACATGGGGACAGAGGACCTGGCTGTAGGAGACTCATCACCCGGGGCTCTGAAGGTGAACATCCACCTGTTCTGGTCTCCTGTTGCCAGTTAGTGTGTACAAAAACATTCAGGTAAGTGGAAACTGAAGTTATTCCAGTGTTTAAAATTCTTAACGGGGTACTTGTTCCCGTTCTCTTTTTACCATATTTAGCCACTGTTTATTCATACACACAGTGGCAAACAGATACTTGCTAAAAGGGTTGATTAATTTTGATTAAGTAGCAAATACTGTCACAGAGTTTTTCACCGTAAACAAGAGAACAGTTTAGATGTACTTTCTTGATGTCTGCTTTCTTGGTTTGCTAAAACTAGGTTTTTCTCCACTGTAACTTTTGCTTTAATTTTTTTTAAAAAAGAACAGCTTTGAGGAGAACTGCTTTTAACATTTCCTGAAAACACTACTAAATAATTATATCTCACGATTCAAGTTCTTCATTCTAATTTGGTTGATATGTATTTCCCACGGGGAAATTTCACTCCAGATTTCTTTCAGTGGGGTCTTCCTAGGGGGTATACCTACACTCCTCAACGGGGACTTGCAGAACGGCCAACTAAGCATCCAGAGGAGTGGTACAGAAAACACCTTTGAATACATCTCTTTGGACTGAGATATTATGGAATCTTAAGATGAAAAAAAAATAAGACCTTTTCGCCTTCTGAGTTGCTTTCAAAAATGTACGTGCTCAGAGACTCTCCGCCTGTGGATTCGGGCACACGGACCACAAAGCCAACCAGTCTCTTGTTTTCTTGATGAGCAGCAAACTGGGTGACACTGGTAAGCTCAAACTGGAAAAAATAAGGAACAGACTAAATACCACACAATAAACGAATTAAACAGACAAGGTCATTCTCTATGGAAAAAGGACAAAAGTACACTATGACAGTCATTTAATTTGGCAAATAAAACTTATAAAAGTGCCTACTCTGTTTAAGACAGTTATAAAGGTGAATGAAGAAGTAATCACTAAAATTAGCATGCATAAGGATACTTACACTGGCCCTTGATACTTGAGTCTGAGGATCTATTAACCTGAAATTTTAAGAGATTCATTATATCACAAATCTTGAATAAACTTACAAGAGTTTATAGAAGTTGAGAATGAAATCACACAAGTACCCTCCAAATATGAAAATACAAAGCCTGGTTGAGAGCGAGGTGAGAAAGCTCTACGTGAGCGTCTGAAGGAAGCACATGCCCTGGTTTCTGCCTTTGCTCAACCTTGTTGACACTTATTTTCCTTTAAAAAAAAGTCATCCTAGTGGTGTGATGTGGTATCTCACTGTGGATTGATTTGCTTTCCTTAATGACAAATGACTGAGAATCTTTTCATGTACTTGTTGGCCATTTGTACATCTTTGGGGAAATACCCGCTTAAGTCCTTCCATTTTTTAGGTGGCTTTGTCTTTCTGTTGATTTATAAGATTTCTTTGTATATTCTGGATACTAGACCTTTATTAGATATGATTTGCAAATACTTATTCCCATTCTGTGCGATGTCTCTGCACTTATTTTGACTGTTTATGCATTACAGTTTTCACAGTGTTCTTACATATATTTAATCTTTTGATGGAGATGAGAATAATGAGCCAATTCCTATAAAAGGTCCAGGACATACTTGGAGAAAAGCTTTAATAAATATAAAGTCTTATTCATAAAAACCTAATTCTAGTATAAGGTTTATAAGAAATGTAAAGGACTTATTTTCATGAATGGAAGAAATGATATTCTGATTTTTGAAGCTATGTACAGGTCACAGTTGTAAATGTTTTACATGTATTAACTCATTCATTCTTTATCACAACCCTATGGGGTGTGGATAAAGTTATTTTCATATTATAGTTAAGAAACCGAGGCAGAGAGGTTAAAGAACTTGCCCACGGTCATGGTCATACAACTAATAAATGCCAAAGTCAGGAATAAACCTAGACATTTTGGCTCTAACATGATGCTGCTATCCTGCAGAAACATAACATAAGCCTCACAAACAGTAAATTTTTCTAGCAGCCACATTAAAGAAAATGAAAGGTGAATTATTTTAATACACCTACTTAATAGGTCTAAAATATACAATTAGAGGTATTTTGTATTCTTGATTGGGAGACGTAATATAAAATTAGATGTGTAAAATTAGATATTTTGCATTCTCAATCGGGAGAGGGATCGTATGAGAGCTCAGACTGGTCGGTATTCTACACTGACCATACATCTCAATTCAGACTAGTTATGTCTCAGGTGCTACATGTAGCTACGGTACTAGACAGGGCCCCTCAATAAAGCCCATGCTAACCATGGCTCGGCAGCTTTTGCCATTTTTTTATTCATACAGATCTTATTACCTGAACCCCCTAGTCATATAGTTAACATTGCCTGACTTATTTTCAGCCCAACAAATATCAGATTTTCCTTGTGGTAGTCTAATCGTCTCAGGCAGGTTCAGGTCCTGTTTTCACTGTTGTTAATTTTTATAAATAGTACTGTCAGAAATGAAAAACTAAAACAACTTCCATTTTTAAGCTCTGAGATACAGAGTAACTCTTGAGTGATGGCAACCTTATGAACAGGATTCACTCACCACTAAATATCTCAAGGTCTCAGTTCTTGTCTTTGAGAGAGCACATTCTATCTAATACAGCTTACAAAGCTGAAACGTAAAAAGGAACAGGGCAAAAACCAGAGTAGCATCTTAATCCAATAAAATATTCTAGATGGGTAAATGTGTCTTAAAGGGGAATCAGATGAAGCGCTAAGAAAAGTCTAGAAAATGAAACAGTGTACCTCAGAGTCTGGCTGGTGATCATCAGATGGGACTCTGTCATACGGAAGATGTTATGAATAGCCCGGGCTGCCAGTACTTGTCTCATTGCTTCATAAATTACTTCAGTAGTAGTGTCTGTTTTAACTGCCATTGATCCCAAAAACCGAACTATAAACATCTGCTGCAAAAGAGAATCTGCAAGAGAGCATTTTCTGCTCAGGGTCACATTTACCTCCTGCCTGGGGCTGATCCCATGTCACCTGTGCTGGTCTGAGAACAGCCACAAGACCTCAGGTTTGGCTGGCTTTCTACGGAGGGTTTTCCACTAAAATTTCTTCATACTCTGCTTTTACAAACCTTAAATTATTGCCAAAGCCCTCAACCTCCTATTGCCAACATTTTGTCTGTCTGGAACTACCTCCTTAGACCAGAAAAGCACCTCTTTCTTCATCTATAAAATGAGGCGGTGGCACCAGATGAACATTCTTCTAACACTAAAACTGGGTGACTACATGGAGATGGCTGTAGATGCATCGCACCTTTCCTCTGAGAATAAGGTTTTTCCACTAGACAGTAAAATTTATTACTTTGGCCCACTGATTAAGTCTTCTTGTAGAAGAAAACTGAAGAAAATACGACCCAATATTGGGCCTTATTCATTACTGAAGGGCAGTGATGACCATCATAAACTAACAGATCTAGCTGGCTTATTCGATTCTGTTGAGCTTCCAGTATTGGCTGAGTAATGGCACGTAGCCTGACAAACCTGAGAAACAGCAGCCATACCTGGAGGATCATGAAGAAGGTGTGAGAGACCTTTTCTGTGAGAATATCCCCCTTACCTACCACTCTAAGCCCAGAGGCCTTTTGCTCACTCGCCCTCCCATCAGTATCCTTGCCCCTGAAAGTCACGAGTTCACTTCCCAGGAAGCTATAACAGATGCGTTTTAAGTGGTTATTCCCAGATGAAGACTTTTAACAAGTCTGGAAGTTTTTGTATAGGCTGTTTACAAATAGACTGTATGAAAAGTCAGCTAGATACAAGTGCAGGGTCACATTTGAGGCACTTTTTTTTTTTTTTTTTTTTAAGGCAAGGCAACCCTTGGTTGACCTCACAGATTGCAAGGACCTTGTCAGCTAACAATCCCTTATTTTTTACGCCTACAGCACCTGGTCTTCCTAGGTGGTCTCCCCTCCAAGTACTAACCAGGCCCGACCCTGCTTAGCTGCCGAGATCAGATGGGAACGGGCTTGTTCAGCGTGGCACGGCCATAAACAGGAGTGCCAATTCTTAAGTCCTACTTTTAAATAAGTGCCATTTCATTCTCATGATAGTCTCAGGCCCCAGTCATGAAGCTGCTGGGTTAAAAGGAGGTCTTGCTAGCACTTGTAGCTACTAAAATTGCCTTGGCTGGGAATAGCGGGTTATGGTCAGCTCTTTTAAGCATGTTCTGATGTACATTATAAGAATGTAAATCAATCAAAAAATATGAATTTGAACAAATATTATTCATGTAATCTTCAAATTCAAGAATGAATTTATTTGTGCTTTTGGTTTTTTAAAATGAAACACATTTAGACTCACCCAAACTAAATTTTAAGGTGATTATTTTTATCCCCTTTGAATTAGTTTTGTAATAATGTAATACCAGATTTAGATATGGAACCTTCTATGCAGGAGTTATAAAAAGGGTATAAATGTGGTTAATGGTGCAATAGTTGTAGAAAATCTGTCAGCTTCCCCTCAGTTTTTACCAAAGACCTGCCCTAATTGCTTGCGTCCTAGTGAGTTTTCATAGAGAAAGGTCTGTGCGTCATAATTTCAATTCATATTTTAAGTCACAGCTCTCTAGAACATGATGTCACATCTTATTCCAACAGCCCTGTTCATTTTGTGCATGGTAAAGAATAAGCACACCAAATTAACCACTTACCTTCTGCTTCTGGAAATGTGTCATCCTCAGTTTCACCAAATGGGTTGATACGCCTAGGGGAATAGCCAGAGTCAAACAATCATGACACCTTCAGCTAAAAGGACACTTAACACTTGAATGCTAAGGCAGAATGGCAAGTCTTTGGAGGTGGGTAGGGACGTGAGATGTCACATTTATTTCCATTTCTCCCAGAGAGAACAACCTCCCCCAGCACATACCTGCTCCCTCTGTTCTGATCAAGGAATTCTGTAGCAGGAAGTACAATATCAAATTGAATAGGTGTTCCAGGTGCAATCAGTTCTTCAGCTTCAGGTATACTGACTGTTGCTTTGGGAACAATCTTGTCATTTTCCATCTCTGAATTTTCCGGGTTCTCACTGAAGTATAAACAGGAGGGGGTAAAAAAAATCAAACAAACCCCTTTTGATCTTATGCCTTTACAATCAAATGAATGCATGTTGAATTGCCGATGTAGACAAGGGAGAAGATTTCAATCAAGCCTTCAACCCATTCTACAAATAAAACTTCATAAAACGCCATCCATTCCTTGGTAAAGTCCTTCAGATCTTCCCACTACCCACTCTTAGCTCTGCCGCACAGCATTCTGTCCTGTGTTTTACTCCCTATTGCGTTATCTACTGATTTTCTGTTTGTATCCTTTTCCCAGGGAGACAGGATTTTGAGGGCAGGGGCTATAGCTAAATCATATTTATTACTTGGTACACGGTAGGTAGTCAAAATGTCAGCTCAATGAATAACGTATCTTGGCCTCCCGTTCAACCACAGCCTGGCTCTGATTTCTCCTGAGAGCCTTCCCCACTCCCTTCACTAGAGCTGCACCAAACACACCCTATGCTTTTCTCCCTGTCTGTCTCCATCCCAGCTCTGCTGCTCAGCTCTTCTGTACTTCAAACGCCACTTCCTATTCATCCACGAGACCTTTCAAGCCAGGCTGACCCGCTCCCTCCTCTGCACTCAGTCTTGTACCTCTGCGCCTCCTGAGCTGTACTGGTTCCCATTATGCCACCCATTTTCTCAAAACCTTCAGCTCTGCTCCACTGCCTGCAGCTCCTAAGCAGGGCACTTAATTCTGTCACATCTGGACTCAAACCTACTTTCTGGCCTTACAGTATACTGCTCATGTTCCCTGTGCAGCGTGCAAACTGGCCCCACACGCACAGCACTGAGACCTGGGGAGTTACTTAACAACTCCCATCTTCCTAACGACTCTCTTCTGGAGTCACCAGGTAATACTTGTCAAACACTTAGTAGGCCTCTATCAGGCTACTAAAAGAAGGATACCAAAGATAGTCATAATTTTAATTTACCATCTGATATGCTTTCATTAGCATGATAAATAATACAGCTCTCTATTATTTAACCAAATGGAAACTCCCATTAAGACAAAAAAGTGGGATTCCTGAACAAATTCTAAGGTAATATTCAAAATGAGAGAAAAGCTACATGCATAAAAATGATCACAGCAAATGAGAGACAATCTAAATATTCAATAATAAAAAATGGAATAGCATGAAAACATCAAAATATGTGCAGATAAGGTCTGGGTAGTAACATGAGCACAAGGTGACTTTGTTGCTTCTTTAAAAAAATGTGTGTTTTGGCTTCATAAGTGCTGAAGCTCATAGAAAACGTGGGGGGAACAACTGATCAGCCGAGCCCTCGCTGCCAGCCCTGTTTGCTTGGGGGCTGCAGCACACCACAGTGTGGACGTGGAGATCAGACAGGTGTGAATCAGGCTCTGCCCCTCACCTGCGGTGTGAACCTGGGAAAATATTTAACCTTTCGTGGCTGGATTTACTGCTTCTGTAGAATAGGGCTGAACACCACCCCGGGTGTGGTTTGTGAGGATGAAATAACTTGTGCAAAATTCCTGATACGTAGTTTGGCTCCACAAAAGCTACTTTTCTTTTGTCCTTCAGTTACCTGGGGCACGAGCTTTCTTGTTTTTTTCCAAAACTTGTAATGGGAGTCACTGCTTGGAGAGCCGTCTGATTCAACTTGATGGCGACCGCCTAAAAATCCACAGGAAGACACGCTCAGTCTCAGGAGGTGGACATTGCCCTCAGACTGAGGAAAGGGCTGAGGTGCAGCGGGGGCGGGCGCTGCTCGTTACCTCGGGGTTGTCGGTCAGGTAGATCTGTCTGGAGATGTTGTTTATTGCACATATCCACTGTAGAGAACATTAAAAAACAAAAAACAAAAAACACTAAATCTCAGAGTCACCCACTGTGCTGGCAAGGAAGTGAAACAAACAAAATCTTTACCTCTTCATTCTCCTTTCTGCTTTCTGCCTGGAGGATTATTCCCCTGAAATAAAAGTGCATCTCGGTGACTGAGGATCATTCTACATAAACTGAACTGAGCTGGTCCTGACGGGAAAGGGCCCGGATGGGAAGGAAAGAAAAGGGGTCTGGTTCTGCCGCTCACTCACTGTGAGACCTTGGACAAACGCTTCCTTTCCCTGGGCCTCCGCTTTATCGTCTATAAGATGAGCAGGCTGGGTTCAGACCTACTAGCCCAAGTCTGCGATTCTTAGAGTGCTGACCACCTTGTTGGCCCCTCTTAGATGATCCAAGGCAACCAGGACTCCGGCCCAGCCGCCCCTCCCAGCAACAGCAAAGAAGGAATTAGCAGCCAACCCACTCCTTCCCAAGAACTGGCAAATCTGCAGATGGAGGGCAGGGATACATACAAATAATACTGCCCGGCCCTTGGGAAGGCTTAACTCTTTACAGGGACTCCACGTCTGCTAGTTCCTTTGTTCCTCATCTCATCTGTGGGAGACGGGGAACGTGGATCTTATCCCTATTTCACACCTGAGGAAACCGAGGCCCAGCGGAGTTAAGTGACTGCCTGGGACCACGACTAGAATCCTGGCATCTTCAGTCCCAGGTCACTTCCCATCGCTGGGGGAAGAAGGATGATGTCTAAAACTGCCGGTTGGTCCCGCAGCACCACACCAGCACCGCCCCCACGCCTCCCGAACATGCTGCTGTTCAAATAAAGTGCCAACTGAGGACCCCAACGGAGAAAGCAAATGCAAGTAAACGGTCTGACTGAAGGAGGGGGCCACTGCTGTCCCCCTGGGCACGTGAGGTCCGGAGCACCTCGGGGCTCTGAGCTCCCTGGAGCACAGTCTGAAACCGCTGCTCTAAGTGAGGAGTCCCGCTGGGACGGGATCCACTGTCAACGACTACAGAGCTGCCATCGGGGCCCCCGAGGGATGGGGACAGCACGTTAAGGAATGACACTGCTGCGGCCGAATGCACTGTGCGCATGGCCCGTTTAGGCTAGAAAAACGGACTCCAGCGGGTCCTCCTCAACGCACTCTCCTCCCCATCCCTGCCCACCACGCAAACCCAAGTGCTTGTCTGGGGACAGGCGAGGGGCGGCCGCAGCCTTCTCTGAGAACCTGTGCCGACAAACGGCCACCACTGTCGCTATCTCACACACCCAGGTCATCTTTAAGCCACATGTCAAATCCTCACTGGGCCTCCTCCACGGGCTGGACCCCACATCGGTCACCTGTGCTGGCTTACAGAGAACACAAAAGCCTCCTCCCCAAAGGCCAACGCTACCCAGAATGGGCCGCTGCCACGGAGGGCGGGCACGCAGGCGTGAGCGAGGAGGCCCCCGGCAGGGCTGAGCCGCTGCACCTGTTCTCCCCCCGACGTAAATCCACGTGACGTACGATTTTCCGTTGGGGGTGGTGATCTGGAAGCAGTATCGTCGGTCTTCACAGTCCACGGCCATCACGGAGCAGTTGTCCAGGTCCTGGATCAAACCTCCAGCCACGGCTCCCCTGGGCTGACACATGAGATTCCCGCCTTGGGTGAAGAAGTAAAGTCTCTCCCAGGTGGTGGTGACCAGCCCTGTTTTACTGTAAGAATTGTGTTCGAAAAAACCCATTAGTACCAGGAAGGCCGCGTGGCACCCCAGTTCTGCTTCCTTAGGGGTATCAGTGACGTTTTAGAGACGCTATGTTTATACTAAAGCAAAACTGCTTTGAAAAGAAATCAAGAGCAAAGGGGGCAGAAGAGGTATGATTCAGCTTGAAGCATCTGGGAGGGTATGGCCCCTGCTCGTCGGGGTGCTGGTCCCCAGGGGACCAACTCCAGATGGGGGTGGGAGATGCCTACCCCCACAGCAGGCAGACTCTGGCCTCTGAACCTCGTATCTGAAAAGAGAACTAGTCCATCACCAACGGAACTGAAAACCTGGGAGATCATTTCTCTAAGACATGGAGCCGAAGTGCTCTTGGCTCTAGCTAGTGTCGCCAGGGTCGTCGGCCTGTGGCACAAACCCCAAATCCTGGGGCTTTTACCAGGTTGGGTTTTGCTCCATCTGGATGTTATTGTTTTGTGGGCTGTTTATAAGAGTTTGAAAATCTAGTTCCTGGCAAATAACACTAGAACCTTGTGGAGTTTTCTATCTGTACAGAACTAAGGGAGACATCTGCCTTGTGATCACCAAGCTTACAGACCTCTGGGGAGCACTCCCCCAGCAAGAAAAAAGCTGGCCATTCCTCTCCGCAGACCCTCGGCTTGGGAGAGATCAAACACGTTTACCCGATTCAGTTTTTACTGAGTAGTGACCATGTGCGAGGCAATAGGTGTCCCACCTCAATAATTATAATTTCCAAAAAGGGTAGCAGCTATCATCTGAATGCCCACTACCTACTAGGAATTACCTCATTCCATCCCTTTACGAAGCAGATGCAATTATCAGCTGTTTTACAGATGGAATGATCGAGGCCCAGCCCAGCCACGGAGTCTGACTGACACCAACCAACTCAGTCTTCCTACACCTGACAACAGCCTCCCTCTGCTTTTAGACACAGTCACACCTGATCATCTCTTTAATTAAAGTGGATGTTTAAAGACTCGCGTGTTAAATACGGGATTCCACCTCTAGATGACTGAAAGCTTCTTGGCCCTCAGCCTCTGTCTGGGTGGTGGGTCTCCAGCACACTGCTGTCAGCTGTCAGGGGCCCAGGTGGGATAACTCTCGATAGTCCAGGATGATGACAGTTAAGAGTGGCCGACGTACAAATGGCCACGGTGACCAGGGACAGGGTAGCCTATGCTGTCCTGGAGTTTACACACAGTTCTCACATGCCTGTCCCTCAGTGCGGTCTGAGACCTGGGCTGAGGCTTCCTGGGGCCCAGGTGGGAGGGGAGCTGTGGTGGGAGTTCTTCCCGATCTCACCCACCCCCACCCTTTAATGGGGCACTTAGATGCTCTTCGGTCGCTCCCAGGAAAAACATGTGAGAAAGAGAGGCGGATGATGGCATTCTCACGTTCTAAGATTAAGGTAACCAGCCTTCTGGACGAGGCTCCTGTTACTCTGCGGTGTGGCCACATCGAAGTCTGGAGTGTAAACAGATTCATCGACAGACAGCAGCTCTTGCTGGGACACCCGCATCGCGTCCGCTTCGGCTTCCAGTTCCACCTGAATGCTTAAGACAGAAGGGGCCAGGTCAGCCCCCATCACCGGCCAACCCTGCAGGCTGAGCAGCAGATGGCAGAGCTGTCCCCCAGGGCTTCCTGCCTTGCAAAGGGAGCCGCAGCTCTCCACCCTGACTTAGGTCCCGGAAGCTGGAGATCCCAGGACTCAAGTCACATTACTGTAAGTGTTTACATGACATGAGGCTGTTTTAAAACAGAACATACGGAACAGTTTCTCTGCTGACAAAGTCCTATCCATGCTCAGAACCGTGGATGCAAATTTTAGGAGAAATTTGTATCAGCACATTTCTTAGTGGCCACATGCGCAGGTAGTCTGTAAAAGTGCCAAAAAAGAGAAGGAAACAGCGATCATCCCTGTTCCACTGTCCCCTCCCGCCACCGCCACCTCGGTTTAGGCAGCAGCAGGGGAGACGGCCACTGGAGACAGGAAAATGACCAGGGAGTGGCACCAAGGTGCAACAAAAGTCAGGGCAATGCTTTTCCTCTTACGATAGCCAGACAACTGCCCCACCTGGTGGTGACAGTCTTGGTTATAAAGTCCTGAACACAAGCTGCCAACACGGCGCATCCATCTAAGAAAGCAAAGTCGGGAGGCGTTGTTCCACTTGTCCACTGTGTTAAGGAGACAAGACTGATGACAGATGCTAAAATCGGAAGGAACCCGGGGGCCGGCTGCTCGGCGTAGGAGCAGGTTTAGGCTCGTGCATTCCGTGTCCTCCTCTTGGAGATGCACAGTGTCCACTGTCTGTCTCTCGTTTAACTGTCTCTTGTTAAGCAGTCGATCTCAGTTAGTTCTGGCTATTCTGACATTTGTATGGAATGACTGGGGACTCCAACACTGGTGGCTTTAGGACAGGCCAGCTGAAGAACAAACCTCACTGGCTTAAGCTGTCACTGCCAAGGCTGAGGATGGATGTGAGAAAACAAGTCGAGCTGAACCGGAGAGGGAGGGAAGGAGCTGAAGGGCCACGAAACCGCGCAGGTTCTTAAGCTTTTGTGGGTGAGAAACCTTTGAAGACCCGATGAAAGGTAAAGACGTGTTCCCCGGAAACACACTCGTGTGCACCAATGAGACATCCACACACACTCAGGGAGCCCTCAGTGACTGTCCTTCCGCCCCACAGACTGCAGCCCAAAACCTCTGAGCTCCTAATCCCAGGTTCCCAGGAGCGGGGTAGAAAAGTGACTGCTTCCAACTGGTTCTCTTCGAAGTAAAAAGCATGTTTCATTTAATTAAAAACAAACGAACAAACAAACATGTATATAAGTAGCAGAAGGAGCCAAGAAAAAAGGTAGACATTTATCACTGTAGAGTTAGCGAGGCAAAAAGCCCCCGGCTTTGTAGGGTGGTTCGAAACACCACCGTCTGGGTTTAGGCCGGTTCCGAATCCTCCTGCAGTGGGCGCCTCCACCACACTCTGCTCCTTGGCCTCTCCGGGCGAGCGGGCTGCCGGCGCACTGCCACGTGGCAGCAAAACCACTCCGGGTCGGAGAGCGGTGGCAGCATTTACCTACGCGCCCGTGTGAGACCGAAGCGATCGGGAAGTTGGAATCCTCGAACTGAATGCTTTAGCTGTTTGAACCAGGAGGTTTGTGTTTCCAGGTTCAGCTGGGAGCCCTGCCCGCTGCCTGTTGCCCTTGTCATGAAATATGCCTTGTGAGGCAGCAGAGGGACCGAACTGAATGCTTTAGCTGTTTGAACCAGGAGGTTCCAGTGTTTCCAGGTTCGGCTGGGTGCCGTGCCCGCTGCCTGCTGCCCTTGTCATGAAATATGCCTTGTCAGGCAGCAGAGGGATGACTGAGAAACTAGGCCCAACCCTTGACAGGAGGCCGTGGGGCCAGGGCTTAACGCCCTACGCACAAACCGCTGGAATGGCGGGCGCCACGCTTTGGTTGGCCTGATAATGGCTCACAAGAATGTTGACAAGGAGGGAGGACACAGGCTGCAGGATCCGCAGGAAGTGTACACCATGGCATCTCAAAAGTGGGCACCAATGTCCTGCCAACCAGTAATGAAAGTCTAGCATTTGACATTTGAACTCAGATGGTTCTCCCAGAAACACAGAAAGCCATGGAATTCTAAGTAGGATGGAGAAAGAAAGAGAAGAGAGGATTCTGTTACCAAGTGAAAATTTAATAGCTTCTCTTCTTTTTACTTTCTCCTAACATCCCAGGGGCTGATAATCCAGTTAAAAGGCAGGAAACTGAACTCAGATTTCACAAATTGCTTTCTAGCATAATTATAAACCTAACCTGCATCACTCACTGCTGCCAGCGAACAGAGAAAAAAACCCTCCCTGACTCCCAGGAAGGAGTGTGTGCTCTCTCACAAGGCACACCTCTCTCGTTGTGTTGGTGGGAATGCTCGGCACTGGTTCTTGGGATTCGTTATTTCCAGAGCATTCTAGGTAGCCTTCTGCCTAAATAAATCCCACTGCCTGGCCTTCACGGGGTATGATGAAATGCAACGCCCTCAAGAAAATGGGCAACTTTGTCTTCATTTTCTCACACAATAAAATCCTATACTCACACTTCCATTTTGTGTATTTTTCAAATTTATCTATGCACACACAAAGACATATTTCTATATCCCAGAAATTGTGAAAAGCACTCAAGGAACCGTGTCTCTTATTTCTTAACGAAATAAGCCTGGTGCTGGAGGTATGTGGACACCTGCTCTGAGCTCAGTGTCACGGACGCCGATGACGGGCACGGGGGGAGTCAGGGCAGCCGCGGCATCGGTCAAGTGTGCGCAGGACAGGCTGAAGAGGTGATGTTATTTTTAAAAATAAGCATCTGCGAGGCTGAACTACAGTGTGTTAGATTAATTCCAAAAAGGTTTAATGCCTCTTTTATCCATTATAAATGAATGTGATGACTAGTTTGCTGAAAAGCTGTAGCACTGCTGGCTGCTAACCTCATCAGTTCTCAAAGGGAAAAAAAAATCTCTTCTGCAGCAAGTCTAAAGCAGACTCGGACTTATGTTAACATGAGAACACCCTAAGAAAAGGAACTTGGACTTGACGGGAAAGTACCCCAGTGGACATTTTAGTCTTTTATTTACATATAACCTTTTAATGTAGTGGAGAGGACTCTGGGCTCCACACAAGCCAGGAACTGCAGAAATCATTATTTTTTAACCACAATATTCATAAATATCAGTAGCTAAGAAGATGATACTTTCTGAGGGTTCAGGTTGTGGACAGAAGCCCCGTGGGACCCTCTGCAGCCAGAACCTCCCCACATCTCAGAGGGGCTGATTTGGCAGGAAAGCAAAAGGCACACAAGATCTAAACAGGAGTCCAGCATTACCTGCGAACCATGTCTGCGACGGAAGATAAAAAGCTGTCCATACTTTGGGAAAACATCTCCGCTCCCTTCTTGAAAAAGTTAATCTGAAAGATATAATTATGATCACGTGACAATCATGTAGGAAAGGTAACTGATGAATCTGGCAGGTGTGAGAGTGACAGCATGGGGGCAGGGACGCTGGCTGGGCCCTCCTCGCTGGCAGCACTTACGCATCTCTCTGAGCCCCGACCCTGCCAGCTGAGTTACTCCCACAGCCCTGGGGGCATCTGCAGAGAGGGGATGGTGAAACCTGCTATCTTGCCGAAAGGCTGTAAAGATCAAGGATAATATAACTTGAGCGCTTGGTACATACCAGCTGTGTCAATCATTACTCCTGGTAATTTGGATTATCATCATCAGCAACCTTTTTCCTAGATAATATAACTTGAGCGCTTGGTACATACCAGCTGCGAAAATCATTACTCCTGGTAATTACTTTTGATTATCATCATCAGCAACCTTTTTCCTGTATGAATTCTAGATACTGGGTTTCTTGAGGGCAAGAATTAGGTCTTATTCACCTCTGCATCTCTAGAGGTTAAAGCAGTGTGTGACAAATGACATGCATAGCACCAAAAAGAAACAAACAGCATGAGGTTCTCAGAGAAGTAAGGGCCACCTCCTGACCGACCCTGTTCACTGACCCGCCTGCAGCTCTGAACACAAGGCTGGATGACAGAGACCTGGCTGCGAAATTCCAGAGGGAAAACAGCTGAAGACCCTTAAAAGGCTCGTCAAACCCTAAGGTCAACTGACAGGGGCCTATGTACGTGAAGGGCGTGGCAGGGCCCTGGCACTGCACAGCTGCCCAACACTGGCGAGGTCACCTCCTCCTACCCCACGCTGTGGCGGATGCTCTCTCTGACCCCCGGGGAGGGTGGCCCTGAGAGACCGTAAGAGACCCGAGAACTGAACAGTTTGAATGAAACTGCAGCTGCTGGCTTCTGGGGACCAGCAGAAGGAATCCCTTACTTCGTGACTCTCGGGTATTACTTCCCAGAAAGCGTGGGTCCCCTGACAAACCTTGAAGGGCAGGGGCAAGGGA